AGATGAGACCGGAAGCCAGACCCATAGAAATTACAAATGGCCGCGCCCATTTTTATGACAAGAAAAAGGTGGATAGGCCTACTTGTCGGCGTTCCACTCCAGTCTCTGAGCACGCGCACACACAAAAAAACTGAATTTAAAAGTGTGAATTAAAATTTCCTTTTGCGGCATACTGCGCTTAAAATAAGTGCAGCTGCACCACGTCACACTCTATTACTCAACCATTTGTTCATGATTCTTTTTCCACTCCAGCGTTTTCCCACTAAAAACTGCATGGATAGGCCTTTTTCTATGTAAACGATTTAGAAAACGTTCAATCAATTCACACTTCATTGAACTATTCACACTTTATATTATTGCCACAATGTGTATTGTCATATCACCCTGCCCTAACATGCAGTAATGCTTTAAACACATTTGACAAACACTAGTTGATAAAAAACAACAACGATTAGGCTAACTATCAAAACTGATTGGCTAACGCTATTTTTCCCTTGTTGTTGCTGCTCTTTTATTCTTTCATGTTAACTGAAGGCAAATCTAAATGATGCACTATTTTAACTTTAATCAGCATGTACAATTGACCATGACATCCTCACCCTATATTATTCCAGAAAAGTGCCTCGCCCAATGCTGAATGGAGCTGTAGAGCTGCAGCTCACATGCATGAATGTTGGGGTTGGGGGTAGGAGAGGTGTCTGAACTAGTCGATGCACAAAATCAGCAACCTGATAAAGAGGTTGACAGTCTGGCACAAAGTATTTTATGTATTTTGAAAATACAAAATTAACTTAAATGTATTTAAATACAAATTACTTTTTCCCCCAAAGGCTTTAAACAGATACATGTATTTAAAATACATATTTGAAATACAAAATGTTGTATTTTGTATTTCAAATATGTATTTTAAATACATGTATCTGAAATACTGCCCATCCCTGGTCAATAGTAAACTGTCTTTATGAATGAGTCATTGAATCATTGACTAATTTGATCAACCAGACTTATTCAGGAGTGCCACCACTGGACAGGACCTTTCGTCATTTTTGTTAATGGAGCAAAAATAGACAAATACCTAGCAATATTTTGTTTTTTAAAAATTAGTATATTAAGTTATTGTTTAATGAACTCTTGTAATGCTGATGGTCTGACTATGAGCAAAGGTGCATCCACACCATGCCATAATTACCTTAAAGGGTTAGTTCACCCAAAAATGAATATTAGCCTGTGTTTTACTCACCCTCGAAGCATCCTACACTCTTAAAAATAAAGGTGCTTCAAAAGGTTCTTCAAGCGATGCCATAGAAGAACCATTTTTGGTTCCACAAAGAACCATTCAGTCAAAGGTTCTTTAAAGAACCATCTCTTTCTTACCTTTTTGTAATCTGAAGAACCTTCTTTCGCCACAAAGAACCTTTTGTGAAACAGAAAGGTTCTTCAGATGTTAAAGGTTCTTTATGGAACCATTTAGACAAAAAGGTTCTTCTATGGCATCGTGAAGCACCTTTATTTTTAAGAGTGTAGGTGTATGTGACTTTTTTCTTTCAGACGAATCCAATCGGAGTTATATTAAAAATACATTAAAACTAACCCTTTAATTATGAGATTCCAACGTGTCCTTGTAGAACTCGTAATTGCAACCTGTAAACTGACCACTGTAGACTCACCAGAACAAACCTCTGAGTTAGGATAGGATAGGAATAAAAGTGGAAAGTTTGGTGTATGTAAGTGCTACTAAAGTGGAGATTTCTGGCTCAGTGCAAGGGGAAAAAACTATTTTTTAAGAAAATAACCTTTAAATATATATACCGTAACTTAAATCTACAGGCGCAAACAAATAGTAAAGTGCAATAAAATAAAAACCTGAATGTATATTCTTGTTTCCTTTCCACTAGTCTGAAACAACACGTCACAGAAATCAAACAGAATCCAAAAATCTTAAAAATTGACCCACACATAAAAAAAGTTTTTGCCTGTAGTGTCTTGCCTTAATTTGCCAACATATTAACTGAAGCATTAAGTTTAGTTATTTGGCTATTGTGTAAAAAATTAAACAATTATAACCTTTTAACTACATTTTTAAGTTTTCTGAAGAATGAGAGTTGCTTGCCTCTGCTGTAATGGTTCCTAATGCCACAGTTTTATCACCCATTTTAGTGTCTCCAAGGTGAAAATAAGCAGCACAATTTTAGGTATCATTCTTGTTGGTATCACAATGAATCACCAAAGTTTAATACTCTGAGTCAGTGGTGAAAGTGAATAGAAAGTGCACATTACAATCATGAATGCTGTTTCACCCCCAGACTTACTACTGATTTACATTGCTGGTTTATTACCTGTCCACAGGCAGTCCTCCTGTTCTGTCCACCGCTGAGGCTGTAGGGATTGTGACTGCTGTAGTGCTCATCACTATGATTACAGCTGTTGTGGGGTATTCATTCCTACGCAACAGACGGTATGTTACTACAAAACATTTAACATTTAGTAAATGCATCAGCCAACTAGCAAAGCAAAACATTTTTTTTTTAATTAATAACTTTTGCTACACAGGGTTTTAAATGATCAAATTCATTTTCAAAGGTTCTTTAATTTTTCATAAAATTGATTTAGATCTATTTTTATTTTGTTTTTGATTAATATGATTAATCCAGCACAGTAAAACCAAGATAATGTGCCAGCATTAGACATATTTATACAAACACAACATATTCCACTGTCTTTATCTTCACTCAAACTAACAAAAAGCACATACTGAATAACAGTAAAAACAATAGTAAAGTGGCTGAGCTGTAACTAATAAATTCATTATCATGTTCAGTATTCAGCATAAGGTTATCACAAGATGTTAAAACACCTTTAACATTTCTTTTTTTTTATCTTTTGCTACACATGGAAGAAGAGCCGGCAGCAATTTCACTTATTGTAAGTATAAACTTAACATGGGCTGTTTAAAATCTCCCTTTTTAAAGGAAATAATCATTGTGAAACTGAACATATTGCTAATTCTTGCATGATAAATTACTTTTATGTTTCTCATTTGTAAATTACTGTAGATAAAAGTATCTTCTATGAGTAAATGCAAATAGGAACAGATTTTAAAATGAATTAATTAATCTTATGCAAATCTGAGGATGCCATTTATGATCTGTAAGTACAAATTGCAAAATTGAGGGTATGGCTTCAAAAAATTGGTGAGTACGGATTACAAAATCATGGGGACAGACTTTCAGACAGGGGATTGTATGGGCGGCTCTTTACTTTCTCTTTTGTTCTTGCACTGCTAAGTCACGCCTTTAGACCTTTGATTCCATTCCTCTTCTGTGAAACCATGTATCATGATGCTATTTGACCAGTGTTTTGCCTCTTTACTAGACACAACTCAGAGCCCCAGTGACCTACAACAGGTGAGACTTCCTGCTGCTGAGAACAACATCTTAACTGTGGGAGAAAAAGTTATCTAGTGAAAGATGCAATCAATCCCTAATCTCATAAACAAGTCATATTTCCCAAGTGTCAAACCATGAGCTTCTGTAAATGACTCAACTTCTCTTTACCTGTATTAGGATGTCACATATTCTGATGTCACAATACCGAAACCAGGTAAAGCTAACAGAAGCACCTCGTCATCGGGGGACATTGAATACGCTGCGGTTTCCTTCAGTGGTCGGTCAGGATCAGCATCACTGCGAGCCTCAGCCAATCAGACTGCTTTGGGTTTCCACACAGCAGAGCAGGAAACTGTGTACGCACAGGTGAAAAAAGACTGATTTTGAGTACAAACGTCACATCCACTACAGATTTCTGTTAATGAGGTGTTTGAACAGTAGAGACAATAAAGGGCCGATCACACCAAGGACGACAACTATAACATTTTAATAATCATTCTAATTCTAACAATAGGGAAGTCCACACCCAAGCTATAATGATAACGACAGAGGAACAATATTGTTGGAATGACCTTTTTCCAGCTGATGGAGGACAAAACCATTGACCATCTGACTTTAAAGAGCTTGAGCATTTATAGCAGCAGACAACAAAACTCCAGCTTATAATAAACAAAACGTCATCGTCCGTTAGCTACATATGGACAATTATGAATTTATCGTTATTGTTATCGTTCTTGCTGCGAATGGACTGATAGCCGTCTTTCCCGACCCCATCCCCCCCTCTCTCACATACTTCGCTTCCTGTCAAAACCTACTGTCCTATCAAAATAAAAAAGCAAAAATGACAAAAAAAAATCCCCTGCCAATATGGGCCAAAAACTGACACTGACAGTGTTTAAAAAAGCATGCTTGTTCTCTTTTTAGAGCTAGACTTGAGTCTGTGTGTGGTCTATGCAAAAAGTCACAAATCTCAGCACTTCTTAAAATGAAAGAAATGAGCTGATTTAAATACATACCAATACATACCCACTGTGAACATTTATTCCTAAGTGTCCCTTTATTTTCATCTCTTTGTGGGCTTTGATTTAGAATAACAAAATTGCCTGCAGAAAAACACAATCCAGTCTGTACACAGCATAAGGGTCGACAATTTAAAAAAAAGTAAAATAAAAAATTGAAAAATTAATGTTGTTAAAAACAAATTAGTATGGATTTTTTAATTCAAATTTGTATTCCAAAGGATTTTTTTTGCCTATAGTTTTAACATTACATGATCAACTGGTTGGAAAAGCTCCTCAACCTCTAAAAACTCACCCGTTGATACATTCATTTAAAATATCCTCTGCACCTCAAGATGTAATGTAATATTAATGTAAATAACCATAATTTTATATGCAATACACATTTGTATAGAAACTTTTTAAAGAATAATAATAAAAAAAGAGGTTCAGTGCCATTTTGGAACATCTGTGATTCTTCTATTTCCTCCTTAATTCCATCAGTCATTTTCAGTGCACTGATGTGTGTGGGAAAAATGTTAAGCTGAACCACAACATCAGATGTCTGACTTTCTGTTTCTAAAAAACGCTGATCTGTGGTGAATGCAGACAAGCACGTGAGTGCAAATTTGGGTTGAGGTATGTGGTGTGATTTTCAGCACAATTTACGGACTCACAAGTTCTTGCAGACAGATCGAAGTCCACGTTTTAATGAACACACAGCTCCTCATTTCAAATAACACATATTCAGTCAGAGTTGATCTCCTCAGTATCAATAAAGTATCTCTATTTTTAATTTCCAATTCAGACAACACAACCCCAGAATTAAATTACACAGACAGTGAATTTAAAAATAAGTACAGTACAGAAAAGTAAGAATATCTGTTTAGAATATCTTTTTAATTAACAAGTTTGTGTTTCATAGCGTTAACGCATGTGCTCTCATTCTGTTGCGGTCTGGCTCTGATCTGGACAGTATCATTGAGACAATGATGTCCAAAAGAGAGCATCGCTGTGCTACTTCCTGTGTATGACCTCTATCGTAACATAGAGACCAAGTTCAGTCATTGAAGGGAAGGAGAGTCTGTGCCTCTGATCGCAAGCAGACGTCTGTGTGCTGCCTGAAGATCAGAATCACGGGGAAGTTTAATATCTCTGTGCTGCCTATCGTGAAGCATTTCTAAATCCTCAGACTGAGAGTCTTAAATCTTTACCATCACATTTTCAAGGTTGTTTCAGACATGGTCAGTGTTATAGTACATTGTTCAGTAGTACAAAAGAATCATTGATGTGACACATGGCTATTAAAAAAAGCACAATTCTCTCATACCAAATAAAAGATGGAAAGCGCAGTTGTCTGTAATTTTGAACAAAAGGGGCAAATATTGCAAAAACGAGTCATAATTTTGTCTCCCCCTTTTGTCAGTCTCTCTGCTCTCATTTCTGCTCTCCCATCAGGTCTGTGTTGTTGCTAGACTGAGGTGGTGGTAAAGTGCAGCCTTTTGCCAGCGGGGAGTGGCCTATCCGGCACGGGCTCAGGCCGCCGCCGCCTTCACTGTCTGTATTGGAGGATGAGTGTGGAGGGGGCGGGGCCAGGCGAGGCAGAGGGGCAGAAGAGGGAGGGATGCGTGTGCAAGAGGTTGTGCGTAGACTCTGGATACGCCGGCACTCCTGGCAAATTCGCACATGAGTGCAGCCCCGCGGCAGAGGCACTGTCACTGCGGGTGGTCCCAGAGCCACTGTGGGGGTGCTGTTGGCAACTAACGGGTCCTCCAGAAGTCGCTGGGGGCCGGGGCCCATGTCTGAGGGGCCTCCTCCTGGTCCTGAACTTCCGGTCAGGGGTCCAGTACCGCTGTAGAGCTTTCCGTTGCTAAGGCGCATCTCTCGGACAAGGCGCAGGGGCCTCGGGGCCCCTAAAGTGATGCGAGTGGGGTGTCGAAGGGCCAGAGAGCTGGACAGGGGTCGGCGGCGGCGAAGACGAGAACTTTTCTTGCAGGAAACTGCGTTACGGAACTCTGTCAACATCTCTTGACATACAGACACCTGAACATTTAGAAAAATATATTAAACGCTTGAACAAAGGAAGATTAGTATTTATCACAGATATATACACACATATATATCACAATTTATATATATATATATCTTAGCATATATAGCAACATAAGCACTACCATTTGGAATAAATAAATTTTTTGTATAAATATATATATTTTTTTTTTTTAATAAATACAGTTTTTGAAAGAAGTCTTTAATGCTCATCAAGGCTGCATGTATTTAATCAAAAATACAGTGAAAACAGTAATGTCGCAAAATATTATCATTCGGAAATCATTCTAATATGCTGATTTGCTCCTCAAGAAACATTTCTTATTATTATCAATGTTGAAAACAGTTGTGCTGCTTAATATTTTTGTGGAAACTGTGAAACACTACCATTCAAATGTTTGGGTTAAGTAATATTTAAAAAAAACAAACAAAAATAATTGTATTCACTAAGGATGCATGAAATTGAACAAAAGTGAAAATAAAGACATTTATAATATCACAAAAGATTTACATTTTAAATAAATGCGGTTTACTGAACTTTCTATTCATCAAAGAATCCTGTTTCCATAAAAATATAAAGCAGTTATTTCAGATTTCACAATATTTATGTTTCTAACTGTATTGTTAAACAAATAAATGCAGCCTTGGTGAGAATAAGATACTTCTTTCAAACTCATTAAAAATTTTTTTTTTTTTTTTTACCTTTTGTATATATCACAGAAGTATGTATTACAGATTTTTACACAAGTAGTCATGCACACCATAACAGTATTCACTAAGGATGCATGAAATTGAACAAAAGTGAAAATAAAGACATTTATAATATCACAAAAGATTTACATTTTAAATAAATGCGGTTTACTGAACTTTCTATTCATCAAAGAATCCTGTTTCCATAAAAATATAAAGCAGTTATTTCAGATTTCACAATATTTATGTTTCTAACTGTATTGTTAAACAAATAAATGCAGCCTTGGTGAGAATAAGATACTTCTTTCAAACTCATTAAAAATTTTTTTTTTTTTTTTTACCTTTTGTATATATCACAGAAGTATGTATTACAGATTTTTACACAAGTAGTCATGCACACCATAACACAACCACTGATTTGGACTTCACTATGACACACACTAAGGCGAGGAGTCGGCGGGTTGCTTTGTAACCTACTGTAGAGTGACTGTGATATTGGCGGTCGCAGGAGAGAGGCCGTACCTCGTCTGTTTCAGCTGATCGCCGTGTGGACCACACAAACTCCATCACAGCCACAAACACAGCAATAATCAGGCCACAGATCAACACCACAAATATACCGCCAATGTTTTCCATCCCAAGACCTGCAACAGTCAATTAAACACTTTTAAACAATCTGCATCTATGAATCTTTAATCACAGACAGAGAAAATAATAAATATACTTTCCTAAAGTCGGCATGAAGTGGAAATTCACCTTATCTATTTTGTAAATGCAATTGAGCTTATTGTGAACAATTCATCCATTGTGTTTCATTTTTGACCTGTCATAATTGATCTTCCAGAAATGACAGACTTCTCTCTGGTAATGCATGCCAGACTTTTCCAATCATTTAGTCCACCTAAACCCAGTCCCTTTCTTACAATTCACTTTCTAACAATTGACTTAAAGGGATAGTTCACCCAAAAATTAAAATGACTTATCACACTCAAGCCATCCTAGGTGTATATGACTTTCTTCTTTCAGATGAATAAAATTGGAGTTATATTAAAAAATGTCCTGGCTCTTCTAAGCTTTATAATGGCAGTGAATGGTGGTCAAGAGTTTGAAGCACAAAAAAGTGCATCCATCCATCATAAAGAGTATTCCACACGGCTCCGGGGGTTAATAAAGGCCTTCTGAAGCGAAACGATGCATTTTTGTAAGAAAAATATCCATATATAAAAAAAATTATATTTTAATTAAAATTAATCAAAATTTTTAAATTAATTTTAAATATATCCATATTAAAAACTTTAAAACCGTTATCTCTATCTTTCGCTAACTGTCCTACGTGTGTTCACAAGAGAGTGGCGTTCCAGTGGATGATGTAGGACGTAGGCATAGCGTCAGCTCCAGTGAGAATATGCTAGCCGTGTGGAATACTTTTTATGATGGATGGATGGATGCACCCCCCAATTCAGTGCCATTATAAAGCAGGATATTTTTTTAATATAACTCTGACTGTATTCGTCTGAAAGAAGAAAGTCATATACACCTAGGATGTTGAGGGTGAGTAAATCATGGGGTAATTTAAATTTTTGGGTGAACAATTCCTTTAAGCTTGCATTCAGATCTGCCGCCATATAATCAACAACTGATAGTTAGAACCAAGTCCCCACCCTCCAGTGGGTGTGTGAAATCCCTGCTGTGTTTTGGAACATAGTAGCTGGTTTCTAGCTGGTTATGAGTTGGCACATGCTGATAGATTGTTTTTTATCATCTTGGACCAGAAACAAACCAGCTACCTGCTGGTTTTTGGAACTACCAGCCATTTTTTCAGAACATTGTAGCTGCTTGACCAACTACCATGTTCTTCACATCTACCGGTTCCAACTGGATTTTTCAGCAGGGATAAGAATGAGAGGAGATTATGGCGTTGAAGTGCAGGAGAGGTTCATGCCTTTGGCACGGTGGTCTTCCTCTTTGGGACACTGCCCTCCCTCCCACCATCTTCTCTTTAGGATCTCCAACCTGTTATTCTCCTGCAACTGCAGCACTGCCAGACTGATCTCATCTCTGAAAGGAGAACCTGGGAGACAGAATAATGCAGATGTAATAGTTTGGTGATTTAGCATGAGGAAGTGTCAATGAATTGTGCACATAATTCACTTCTGTAAAAACAAGCCTGTCTGATGATAGTCAAATGAATTCACAGTTTGCTTATTTATTGGTGACCTAGAAACGCAGAGCCTTAAATAAGCATTCTTCATTACATTACTTTTTTAAATGTGGTCTCAAGAGTTTTTGACCTCAATGTACGTGTTAAAGACATAATGAAGCCTTCTATAGAACTGAAGTTCAACCGTAATTTTACGAAGCTACAAGAATACGACACATGCGCAGTTGTTTACACGAAGTGGAAGTGCGCGCATGCGTTGTGATACTCCCCAAAATGGAGGCAAACCACAGCAGACTGGATGAGGAGGAGAAGAATTGTTGAACAAAGTTGTTATTTTTGTTTTCTTTGTGCACAAAAAGTATTATTGTAGCTTCGTAAAATTACGGTTGAACTACTGATGTCACATGGACTATTTTACTGATGTCCTTACTACGTTTCTGGACCTTGATCGTGGTAGTACCCTTGCTGTCTATGGGAGGGTCAAAGAGCTCTCAGAATGCATCAAAAATATCTTAATTTGTTTTCTGAAGATGAACGAAGGTCTTACGGGTTTGGAACGACTTGAGGGTGAGTAATTAATGACAGAATTTTCATTTTTGGGTGAACTATCCCTTTAAATGTAATTATGGTTTAAAAACCTCATGATTCCCAGTCCATTGTAAGTTTGTTACTGTGCTAATTTTTTCCTTAATTTCTACAAATGTAGGGATGAGCTGAGATCATTTTCTGTGGTATTATGTCCCTCTCGCTCACCGAAAGGCATGCCGATTCCATAACCCTTGGTGTCCAGCAGGCCTCCGATCTGGGTGAGGTTGCATTTGAGGCTGCGGTGGTACTCATTCATGGTGCTTTCAAGCAGGAAGGCGTATTTAGAGTTCAAGACTCGTGCAATGCCCTCCTCTGTGCTCTTCACGAAGACACTGGGCTGCTTTGAATACATGTAGTTCCACATTCGCTGATATGTTTGATAACGAGAGTTCTGAAAGAGGGGAGGAGAGGATGTATAATACATCAGGATACATACATCATAAAAAAAACATTTAAACACGATTTAACATGCAAAAAAAAAATCAATGAGAAAAGAAACAGTGAGACACACAGATGGTAAAAACTCTTGAGCAAACAAAAAACTGCTACGAAAATAGATAGTCTGTAAGCCAAGGGTAAACTACAAGCAAAAACAACAACAAAATAAACAAGAGATTCAAAACCCATCCAAATGCATATGCAAATATATGCCTGCTGGCACTTTCCATGAATATGGTACAAAATTGGGCTTGAAACATTTTTTTTTCTTTTTTAACAGATGTTCAGTGAAAGAAGGTGCTTATATCATTAGAGGAACAAATCCCAAGTTTTTCGTTGTGACAACTATAAGTAAGATGAACATAAACACTACAAATTACAGTATCCCAACCAAAAATAACTGAATGTATAATTCAGTTTATTGCAGTAAAAAAAAAAAAATCACGTTTTTTTTTTCCCAAACATTTGGTCTCTATAGGGATATTAAAACCTGAAACCAGTCAACCCCATGATAAAAGTTTAATAAACAATTGGAAGTTAATTACAAATTCATTACAGTCAATTAATTTATATGCACATTCATTCTAATTAATCATAGTTAATCACATATATCAATATTTGATGAGAAAAGCACAGAAATTAAGAAATATTTTAAAGACGCTGCAAAAGAGTAAAACATTGCAAAGACATTACAAAAAGCAAATTTTAACCTCAGTTGTTATTGTTTTTTTTTTACACAATATCACTGAACACAAGCCTATAACAATCTTTCAGTCAACAGCAATACATTTTGTCTGAGGTCATCTTTTACATAGGACATGTTTCTGTATTCTGTCTCTGTTGTTTTTTAGTTTGTTGATGTACGTGAATATCCAGACTGAAGCCATTGCGTAGATTCTGTGTGTGTGACTTACTATATGGACCCTGTAAAGAATACTGATGCCCAGGGTCATAAAGGGTTTTGAGAAGTCAATGACCTTCTCTCTCTCAGATGTGATGGTAAAAGCTGCTACAGCCAAATCAGCTTTCTGCTCCAAAGAATGAAGGAGAGAGAAGGAGAAAGCAACAAAACATTGTAAAAGCAGAACATGAATTCTTGTAAAAGTCATCTAGACACAATAAAGAAAATGACACAGAACTGAATTGAATGCAACTGTGTGATTTCCATAATTAATTCAGGAGGGGATGTGTTGATGAGTATGACCACATACCCTGTTGATCAGCTCTCCCACCATGCCTGTCCATGAGCCGTTGGGTTCAGGTGCTCCATACAGGCCATCGTCCACCAGTTTGATGCGGAAGGTGAACTTGAGGCTATCAGCCAGCTCTCTCAACATGTCCACACAGAAACCCTCGTACTGCTCATTCCCCTCAAACTCCTGGTAATTCACCTTTCTCATCACGTACGGGTTCTCCTGCACGCACAAACACACATGTGGGTCATTCATGTTATGCAGTAGTTTCAAGTCCCCATCACATTTGTCTTACTATATTAGATAAAATATTAAACTCACATTTTTATTTTTAAGTTTATAAGTTAAGAAAACAGCAGTGCATTTTTTTTATAATTTTACTACTTTGAGCAGATGTTGCTTTATCATGTCTCCAGATGACACACTAATTTCTAACATGAAAAACATGAATAACAAATATTCCAGGTGTTTTTATTATTTTAATTCTTTCCTTTCTCTAATCTCTAAAATGTTTTGGACAAAACATTTGTTTTTTAAATTTTTATTGGGAATATTGTTTTATTTGGTAATCACTATATAGTTGTCCTCTTTATCATTTCAGTTTTTTAGTAATCCTTTAACTAACAAAAGACTGTTAATATTTAATGACTGAAAGTGACAGGAAGTGACATTTTCTAATCGGAACACAACAGCACAAAAATAAGCAAATTTTAGCAAAGGATTTGGTCAATTCTGTGATTTCTGTCAATTCTCACTTTAAAATGCATCATCTTGTAAGATAAAAGTACAGAAATTTTTTATATATTTTGAAATATCTTTTCACTAATTTGGACTGAATTAATTTCAAATTGACCCTCCATTAATTCCTGTGAATTCCTTATTCTCTTAATAATAACTATGTTCTTTCCATCATGATAGACATTCTGTTAACTGTATGTCCATTGTGTAAATAAGTTATAATTAATTAATAGTTTAAGTGGACATTATAGAGTTCAAAATGTACTGCATAACAGGAATTATCAATGTAGATGTGGTAAATATTGTGGGAACATAAGTGAGCTATTTGGACCTGCTGTAGTGCAGTTGGTTCTCACCAGTATAGTGGTGATGATGAGGCTCTTGTTAGCCAGAGTCTCAGACACGTTGATATCCAGACTGGTGGAGTTCATCAGCAGAGTGTTGTTAGAGTACCAGATCCCAATCTAACACAGAGATGGATGACAAATGGAACAATCAAATGGAAAGATGCTGGCACTATTCAAAGTGTGTGTGTGTGTGTGTGTGTGTGTGTGTGTGTGTGTGTGTGTGTGTGTGTGTGTGAGAACCTACTTAACAAAACTGTACCCAGAAGTGAGCTAAATCTGACAAAACCTTTTTTTAGTGATATCCTGATTTGTTTTTGTTTTGTTTTTTAATTGAGAAAATTGGGGGGGGGAAAATTCTGTTAGGGTTAGGATTAGGTTATTTTATCTAAACTAATATCTGAAAACATTAGACGTCTTTGTATATCCCCATTTAGATATCTAAGTAAATGTGTACATGTTTGTGTGTGTCTTTAACCTCTTTGTGGCCTCCCCTGTGCTTCTCCTGGATGTGGAGGGAGTAATTGGTCCTCTGGCCTTTACTGTTGAACTCAACTCGACCTGTCAAACCATCATACTCCACCTGATCAAAACATGGGAACAGAGAGAGAAAGAGAATAGAAACAGTTATGCTACCTTAAATAACACAATGGATGCTCTCTAACACAGAGAACAATGCTGGAAGACGTTCAAGTGGTTAAATATATAAATGTACACACACACACACACAGACTGACCATACGCAGGTAGTTCATGAGGCTGGTTCCGTGTTGCCAGATCTGAGGGGAGGTGCAGCTGAGAGGTTTGACACCAATCTCCTGACTCCGATTGAGTTCCTGCACTGCACTCACCACCACGTGGACCGCATCAAACAGCAGGGCCGACGACAGCTGAACACACACATACACAGCTTAGTGTGAGCAGTCTGCGTGTGATACATCGATAGGCTTCTGTATTGTGTTTGTGTGTGTATCACCGCTGGTCCAGGGTAAGGGTTAATGTCACAGCCCTCTCTCCAGGACAGGTTAAGGCTCCTAATAAACTCCAGGTAAAATGGGTGGGTGGTGTTAAACATTGAGAAGCCCACGATGTTTGACTGCTCATCCACTATATCATCCAACCACAGCAACGGGAAGTCCTGCACACACACACACAGGAATGACATTACACAGCAGAAAAGAGAGAACATCAGCCTGTGTGTAAGAATTAGAAATATGAAAGAATATAGAGCTCAGGATCAAAATAATGACTAGTCCTGTGAAATGGTACTGGTTAAGTGGTATTTGAGTAGTTGAGTATAGTTTGTGTATAGACTGAATGAATGTTGAATGGTGCACGTGAGCAGTGTGCATAAGACGAGCGATGAGTTAAACTAGACTGGTTAATTAAAGGTGTGTGTGAATGCATGCAAGGTGGTTCAATAGTAGGTAAGGTCTGTGTAAAGTGGTTAGATTAATGATTAGAAGTTTCAGTAGTGTCCATTAATGGTTTAAGTATGTTACTGTAGGTTAGACTAGTGACTACAGTAGTGTTGAGTAGTAACTAGGCATTTCAGTGGTTTGCATAAGGTTGGAGTAACAAGTTAAAATAGACTATACAGTTCATTAGAGGGTAAGGTTTGAGTTAACTGGTTAGATAAAATGGTGAAATCAATGCATAGGGATTTCATGCATAATGTGGTAACATGTTAGGTTAGACTAGTGACTAGAGGTATCAGTAGTGTATGTAATGCTTCAGTAACGAGTTAGTTTAAAGTACAGTAATTTGTGAATAATCGGTTATATTTACTAGAGGTTTCAGTAGTGTACATTAGGTTTGAGTAATATAGAAGTGTGTCTAAGGGTAGTGTACTGTATTTAGTAGCGTGTCTAAGAGTTCTGTAATGTGTTATGCTAGACCAGTCACTAAAGGTTTCAGTAATGCATGCAAGGTTTGAGTATGGTTCATTAGTGGTGTGAATGAGGTTGGAGTAACAAGTTAGATTAGACTATACAGTTTATTATTGGGTAAGGTATTATTGGGTAACCATAAAATGGTTAAATTAATACATAGAGAATTCAGCATTGTGTGCATAATGTGATAACCAGTTAGGATGGACTTGTGACTAGAGGTATCAGTGGTATGTATGGTTTCAGTAATGAGTTTGGTTAAAGTAGGGACTACTGGTGCATGTAAATTATGAATAATCAGTTTTATTTACTAAAGGTTTCTCTAGTGTGCATCATGACACATCAAGCCAACAGTCGGTCATTGGCCAATGTTGGGCCGTCGTGTTTTCTGCCCAGTTGGCAGTTGACCGATTTCAAAGAAAATCATGTAGAGTATTATGAGCACAGACTCCGATTTTTACACTCAGCCTGATTCCATTCAGTCAGAAGAGATCAAACATAATTTGACATTTTGAGCCGATTTTAGAACACTTTGTTTTCATCTTTCATGCATCTCCTAGCAACAAGGCACAAGTTTCTGTACAAGTTTGTTGTGTTCAGAAGGTCTGGTAGTGTATTTTGGCAAGTGTGTGATGCCTAGTGTTTTAAACACAATAGGTTAGACTAGTAACTAGATGTTTTAATAGTGTGTTTTGTGTTTGTAGGTTATGCAGCAATATGTCTTTAATGTAGTTCAAGCTGTGAAGAGGGTTGGCTTGAGAAGTGTGAGTGGGTTTGCGTAATAAAGATGAATTGTTAATACAGAAGATGGGGCTCCAGGCATGAATATATCTGCAGGAAAATAGGCCAAGAGCTCCTCCTCTATCATACCATAGTTGTGAGGATGTACTTGTAAAACGCTGATGTCATTCCCAACTCTGACGCCTAAAAAGAAAGGCAAGAGGAACGAGACAAAAACATTTCATTATGTGTGCGAATGGGAGAGCTGCATAGAAAAGCAGAATATTTCAGTGCTCATTGTAGAATACAGTCCTTCAGAAACATTATGATATTTATAGTATCTATACATTAAAATGCAGGTATACTGAACAAAGCTGAATTACAAGGTGACGAGAGAACGAGAGACTGAAGTGGGCGAGAAAAGGAGAATAAATGAATGTGAAATGAGCCAAAGCAACAGCATTTAGATAATGTGACTATATGCTTACCTTTTTCAGTATAAGGTAAGATATAGATGCATTAGCATCAATAATTATTGTAGCTATTTTGTCATCACGAATCTCCTTTAGTAAAGGCGTGGGGTCAAGGTTGTCATCCAGCATCCTGATTGACAGCGTCTCTCGAGAGATCAGAAACCCCCTTATCAGCTCCTCCAGTCTCAGCAGACCTGCGGGGAAGAAGGCAAGTTGTTGGCCGAAAGGATATGAACACTCATACACCAGACTGGAATTGAAAGGGGCCAAACCTAGCTTCATGTAGTGTACCTGAGATGGTTTGTGTCTGAGGTTGTTTGTAAACAGCATGCATCTGTCTGTTTGCAATGCTGCTGTGAAGAAAGTTAGTCGGTGGCAACACAAAGCCCAGTGAAAATGTAAATAACTAGCTGTGCTCTCAAGGGAGCCCTCATGCACAGAAAGAGCCAGTAAAGCCAGTGCCAAACTTTAATTAGCTTGAGGGAGGAGAGAAATCAATGCTCTCCACACTCTCATTCTCTCGCTCTGTCTCTTGCTCTCAATACCTCCCCTTTTTCTGTCTTTCTTTCACTGATTTCTCTCATTCATTCTTATTCTCAGCCTCTCTGTTCGCTTCATTCCACTAAATTTGTCTCTTTCTCGATATTTCACTTTCTTATTCCCACAGCTGTGTTATAAAGTGAACTCAAACCTTTTGTTTTCCACCAGAGACCAGTGCTGCCACACACTGAAACAAACATTATCAGACCCAGCCGTGTGCTTAATGACTCATGTGTCACAGTGACTAGAGCTCTGTTCCAAAACCTAGCGAGCAGCCAGCATTGTAGGACATCAAGGTGCAAAACCGGTTTCAAAAGGTAGGCATTTTAGTTTTGAGATGCCTAAATTCTAGCAGCAAGAAGGTCATCCCAGAATGCACTGCACCAAGTTCAAAGATGCATGCAGAATTAAGGTTTTATTAGTTTTATAATTGTTTATTAGTGAATAAATAAATCCAAGCTGGTGGACGAGACAAGATTGTTGATTATACATTCAATTTTCTTTCATTCAATACTGAAAGTGTCAATAAAAATACTTTTGTTTTAACACTATTTTAATGCAATATTTGTGAGTACTATATAATTTAATGTTTACTGAGGACTCCTATTAAAATAACTAGATAGCAACATGCTAATGGAAAACTCTATTGAAATCAATTGTATGGCGCTTAATTTGTGTGCTGTGCAGAGTTGCTGCTTTCTTAAATACAGTCATTAATTTGGTTTCATCATACTTAATGGGATAGCTCACCCAAAAATAAAACTTCTGTCATTAATTACTCAGCCTCATGTCGTTCATCTTCGGAACACAAATTAAGATATTTTTGATGAAATCTGAGAGCTTTCTGACCCTGCATAGTAGTAAGTTCCCAGGCCCAGAAAGGTAGTAAGAACATCTTTGAAATAGTCCATGTAACATCAGTGGTTCAACCATATTTTTATGAAGCTATAAGAATACTTTTTGTGCACATAGAAAACAAAAATAGCAACTTCATTCAACAAATTCTTCTCTTCTGTGTCAGTCTTTGCCGCATGTTCAGGAGAGTAGCATGACGTATGCGTGTGGTGATGCTGGTGCGCGGTGCCTTGTTTACAAGCAGAGGAAGACGCATGCTGTACATAAAACATGGAAACATATCTGAAGATTTCAACAGAGAGGATGAAATTCAAGCCTTTCTTATTTGAACCAGAATATACAGTCGACAAACTAAGAGACATGGATGTTCTATGTCAGAACGCTGGCTCCTGCGTCAGCAGCATCACACACATGCGTCATGGTACTCTTGTGAACGCGGGCCAAAACTGACACGGAAGAGAAAAAATTGTTGAATGAAGTCGTAATTTTTGTTTTCTATGTGCACAAAAAGTATTCTTGTAGCTTCATAAAAATATGGTTAAACCACTGATGTCACATGGACTATTTTAACGATGTCCTTACTACCTTTCTGGGCCTGGGAGCGTTTTAGTTGCATTGCTGTCTATGGAGGGTCAGAAACCTCACGGATTTCATCAAAAATATCTTAATTTGTGTTGTGAAGATGAACGAAGGTCTTATGGGTTTGGAACGACATGAGGCTGAGTAATTAATGACAGAATTTTCATTTTTGGGTCAGCTATCCCTTTAAGGGCCACGTTCACATAGAACGTGATTTTTGCATTTGACCGCAATGCTTTTCTGTTGTTTTTCTCTGAAAACATGCTAGATGGACATGTTTGACCGTTGTGCTCATGTCTTGCATCATTTGCAGCATCTCATCATCTTTTCTCAGCGAGACATCTTTTAAAAAAATGCTAAGCTTAAGTTCAGAGTAGTAAAACACACCTCCATACCTTGCAGGTTTTTTCATTCCACTGCCCTGCATCTCGTGTTTTTAAATGCAAAGATGCTGTCTGTATGAATCACTTCTTAGTATTCTACTTATGCAAAGTATAGTCAACAAGGCAGCTGGCTTAGTTTTGGAACATATGTATGCATGAGATAAAAATCATGGTTAAATTCTGTGTAAAACATAAGCTTTGTAAAAAAAACAACTTAGAATGTTTACGCAGTTGTTTAGATGTTCCTTTCATGCTTTTTCAATCTGACAGACAAGAGTTCACTAGAGAAAAAACAGTTGAAGCTGTGTGGCATCAGATGACAGTTTCATAAATTAAAGGCAATGAGGTTCACTAACAAAATTACGGCACACAACACACATGAAAACATTTGTGTCAAAACAGGCTTGCGAAATTGCTTTCTATCTGTTTAACGAGAAGCTGTAGCACAGCAGCGAGCCTCTCTCCATCTCTTGCCACCATTTTAAATGAGCTTGATGAGTGGCAAGTTGCACCTACTCTGCTGCCATAGCAACCATAGAGCAGCCAACTGGGTCAGAGCTGAGCGTTATGTAGCGATGCCCTCTCTAACACACATGAACGTCCAAAAGCACAAACACACACACTGCCACACATGCACACACTCTGCATACGTGCTGGTGTCTCACACATTAACACACACAGCAGGGGGGGAGATTTATTCTCAGATTACGTGAACGTTATGTTGTCCAGTGACATGCTGTGTAATTGCCCAGCAGTATGTTTTATTGGCACAGCTACCTATTACAACAAAGTAATTGTTAGAACTTGCAGTAAGAAAGCACTGCAGTGTCATTATCAGAGTCTGTTCTCCAGAACTTCTGTAATTTCATCTCTCTCATCAGCCTAGAATACATATTGTAATTAGAGTGTTTGCTGAGAGAAGATGATTGATCGGGCAGATGGAGCTGAGGAAATCAATTTAAAAGTTTTTTGGAAAAGTGGAATTATTGTAAATGGGTTGTTTTCTTTAGAAAAGGTTAAAAAAAAAGTACCTTTCTCTGAAGACTTCAACACTAACTGGTAATTATAAGTATCCTATGCTAAAAAAGTGTGTGTTGCTCTCCATGTGGAATAATTGTACATATTCAAGCTTGAAGGAAGACCAGAGCCACTGATGAGCAGAGCAGAGGTCTTGGACTCACATTCGGCCTTAGCGCAGACCAGACTAGCCGATGGGTAGCTGAAGGAGCGTAGGATGGCTCCGATGGCAAGGCTCAGATCTTCGTTGCTAGGATACAGAGTCACAGATGCAAAGCGCAGGTAAGGAAGCCGTGGAGTCTCTTCCGGACCGATTTTGACATGCGGAATCTGAGAGTGAGCAGTTTGAAGAACAAAAGGAAAGAGATTATGGTTAGTGAATTAACACAAAACAAAACAAATGTGGAATATTTAAATGAAGCGCACCTCCTTTTCCCCACAGATGTGACTGACTATGGAGCCAGAGGCAGGGCTGGAGGCGGGGCCAATCACAGAGACCACGCCCTTTGGCAGAATCTGGCACACTACGACAAAAAAAGTAGAGCATTTCATTCCTCATATCCACTCTGTTTGAGTCACTGTATGCTGTACTGCTTTACTTCAAAGTTTTTTGTGTGCAGGGATATATGAGTGTGTGTGTGTGTGTGTACTTTTTAATGTATGACTCACTAGTATCTGTAGTCTCATACTGAGAGTCTTTCTGGAGTTCAAATATGTCGACCTCCACGCGAGCACGAGCCGGGCCCTCCATCACACTGTTGATGTTCTCGCGTGCTAACGCTAAAGCTAAACGCTCCCCACGCCCACAGACAGAGCTGTCATCCAAAATTGCCGCTAACGGAGGAGAGAATGAGAATGAGAATGAGAGAGAAACAGACAGATAAAGTAGAGAGAAATCATTACAAGAATGGGTACAAGTAATATAAATGCAATATATAACAACCCTTTAATAATCACTCTTTTAAAACAACCATCTACCATGTCCAATAATAATAAAGTCAGTAATATAGTCTATTTTTAAAGTCAATAATAAAGATTATTTATAATAATTCTGAATTGCCATAGTGTATCTAATAGGATATTCTGTAATAAATCTGGTTATGTCAGTGGTTCTCAACTGGTGGGCCAAAACCCAAAAATGTGTTGCAGGTTTGTTCTGATATGGTCACATATCAATTAGAAAAAAATATTCTAAATGCAAATTAAAAATTCACCTAACCATGTGCTCTACTGTTCAAAATTTCTGAGTAAATTTGTTTTTTATATATTTTTTTTATGAATTCAAAGAATCCTGAAATGAACATATTTCCACAAAAATATTAAGCAGCACAACATTGATAATAAGAAGAATTGTTTCTTCTTAATAATCACTCTTTTAAAACAACCATCTACCATGTCCAATAATAATAAAGTCAGTAATATAGTCTATTTTTAAAGTCAATAATAAAGATTATTTATAATAATTCTGAATTGCCATAGTGTATCTAATAGGATATTCTGTAATAAATCTGGTTATGTCAGTGGTTCTCAACTGGTGGGCCAAAACCCAAAAATGTGTTGCAGGTTTGTTCTGATATGGTCACAGATCAATTAGAAAGAAATATTCTAAATGCAAATAAAAAATTCACCTAACCATGTGCTCTACTGTTCAAAATTTCTGAGTAAATTTGTTTTTTATATATTTTTTTTATGAATTCAAAGAATCCTGAAATGAACATATTTCCACAAAAATATTAAGCAGCACAACATTGATAATAAGAAGAATTGTTTCTTTAGCACTAAATCAACATATTAGAATGATTTCTGAAGGATCATGTGACACTGAAGACTGGAGTAATGACTTCTCAAAATTATGCTTTGTCATCACAGGAATAAATTACGTTTATTGCATTTGCACAAAATATATTAAATAAAAAAAATATTTGAAATTGTAATAATATTTCACAATATTACTGTTTTACAAAAGAGTCAAGCTGCTTTGAAACAATGTGTATTGTAAAAAGCGCTATACAATTAAATTTGAATTGCATTGAATTAAATTTTACAGTACATGTACTCAAATAAATGCTATATATTTGTCTCATCCTTGAAAACCATAAACAAAAATTACAATGCAAGAAACATTACATAACTTTCCTATTCAACAGGTGTCATGTTAATAATTTTGCATATTTTAGTGTTTATGCAGTTTATAATAGTACATTTTAGTTTAGTTTAGTGCAATAAAATGTTGGTACTTTGTTGCTTGATTTCTAGAATTAAATCTGGGTCATAAAACAAAAGCATTTGAGACGCACTGGTTTGACATTCACAGACAGATATTGGGCTTGTCAATCACATGACATAAGTCCATAAGCATGCGACACTTACCCATCCGTACGGATGACAGAACAGAGGTCTGGCTCAGGGAAGAAGGCGGCATGGTAACCACGGTGACTAACAGGAAGCGGAAGTAAATCGACAGCAGGAGCGCTGGCAGTTCCGGCATCTTCTACCGCTCCTCATGGAGATGCCTTCTGCTGCCTATAGCACCCCCTAGACGAACACAGAAATTAGATGAAATTTGTTGTACATGAGCACTTATAGATTTCCGCCAAATTGTACATTTCAACTTGCTCCGGTAGTAGACAAAACAATTAATCAAGCAAGAAACATGTAAAAGGTAAAACATAAAATATCAAACCATTGTTTTGGGCATGGTTTTGTTTTCGACCTGACATATTAAGCATTTCCTTGTCCTGAGAACTGTTACGAATCCAGTTCATGGACTTCCATCCAATTGCCACCAGAGGTCGCTCTTCCATTTTAGTGACTCTCTCACTACACAGACTTTCACGTGTCACCCCGGACTACATTTCCCAGCAGCCATTTCACTAATCACACGTTCACCTGAAACCAATCACACACACTATATAACACCCACTCAGATCATGCACTGTAAAAAGTAATCACTGAATCTACTCTACTCTAAAAGCGAGTAAACATAACTGATTTTTACAAATTTGTTGAATTTACTTAATTACACTGTGTTATGTGAACGTTCAGGTGGATGCAATAGTTAAACTAAACAACTTTAGTAAACAGTACTTTTAAGAGCATCTAGTTTGTTGGATTAAATCCCACTATGTGCCCTAATAACTCTAGACCAGTAGGTGGCGGAAGTGCACCAATAGGTGGCGGAAGTTTGGTTTAAACAAAACATCACCAGAAGAAGACAACAAACTGAACTTCTGAGTCAGATCGTGTTTGAAATGTGGCCGTAAGATTAGGTAAGTTTTTGGTGATCTACTTATAAACTATATTGTCACAGTGTGTGCTATCGTTTTTGAGGAAAAGAAAAGGCAGATTTTATTAGTTTTTACCGACGAGCATTACTGTAACCGTCAGTTAGCGTACTAGCTAGCCAGTGGTTTACAAGCTAGATTACAAGCATCGATCTTCCTCTTTACTGGTAGTTATAACATGAAATAAACGTGAGTAAGCATCATAAAGTATGTTGAGCGATACAGTACACCTTAATGAAATGTATCATGTCTTATGTAATCCATTTTTCAGCATTTAATGTTTGAACAAATGTCATGAAAACAAGTTATCATCACAACCACTGTTTAAATGTTTATATTTCAGAAAATTATTAGAAACTAGATTTATTATAAGAATTATTAGAAGTAGAAACTTCATTTAAAATAGTTTTTAAATGTGCGTCAATGCCCAGCACTAATTATATGTCAGTATTGAACCAAAATGCTGTTGTTTTTTTTTTTTTTTTTTTTTACACTTTTCAAATGTCAAAGCAGCAGTTTCAGAATAGAATATTTTTATAGCTGGCATACTGTTCAGTTTGTCTTGTCTTTTTGTACAACAGATTGAATGTCTTTTTTTTAAAATCTGGGATCCACTGCTGTGCTCAGTTTGAAAAGGCCTTTATATCTAAACATAATACACAGATATGAATTTGTTTGCAAATGTTTAACCTGAATATGTACTCTTAAAATGTAATGACTTATTTTTGTCATATTGTATTATTGTTGCTAGGACTATGATGATGAAGAAGAAATGTCAGTCGGCCTATTGAGCGTGATCCCTGAGCTGAGGACTCTAGAGCCATACCTAACTCACTGCATTTAATGCCATGTCTACTGCAATAATTTTAGAAGGTACAATTGTATTGGATGATCTGGAAAATCCTCCCCAAGATATGCCTGCTCTTTGGACTTGGATTTATGCTATGAAATTATAGTATCCTCCAGTACTGAAGGACACCTTTGATTTCATTCAATGGCTGAAGCTAGAATGCAATCTCTGAAAAATCTTCTTCATGTAGAAAGATGTCATTGTGGCGTGATGGAGCATTTTTCAGTGTAATTGTTCATGATTGATCATTATTGATTTAGAAATAGGTAATTCTAGAAAATGGTAAATCTAGATTTACAAGGTGTCATAAAAGGGATGTTGATGTTTGGGTTTTTTTATTTTTTATTTCCTGAGTGCAGTATGTGCAATTTTTCTTA